TGAACCCAACCTGTTTCTCACATCGGGATTCTGGCGGGGGAGAGCCGGTACTTCAGCGGAATAGCTTGGGGTCGGTGGCAACACTTTTCGTCTGCTCGCGGCATGTCCTCCATGGCTCGCGGGACAATAAAGTTGTGTTCTCTCTCTCCATGGCTCGCGGACAGCTGCATGACTGGCCGGCATCATCTAAGCTTGAGCATTGTTTACTTAGTTTCCGGAGACTTTGTTCTCAGGTGATTAAATATGCAGAAATCACTTTTGGTGATTCGGGAAATGTCGCTGCCGTCGCTTAACACGCGAGATTTTTAGCTGTCATGGTGGTGAAATATTCCAACTTCTGCAACCGGCGACGTGCCGCTTCTAAAAAAAAAAAAAGGCGGGAGACACGTTTAGAAGTTCTACAAGTGGGGAATAATGTAGTTGAAAGAATATCCTGCTAGCAACTCCCTTTTCTCCTGAAAGAATAACACTACTCGTCATTTGTCACAACACGACAGACATCGCAGCCTAGCTTCGCTTCTTGCGGGCATCCATGTTGAATACTCTCAAACCAGTCTGCTGCCAGCGGGCGCAGGTGAGCGCCGAATCTGCTGTCGAGGATAATCCGGCTGTTTTCTCCTAGTACACCGTCCGTCGTGTGGATGCGCCTGCAGGCGGACTATCCGCGGATTAGCTGTCCGCGTCCACGACAAATCCGGATTCGGTCCGTCGTCTGAATGCACCAATAGCGTGGGCTTATATACGTGCCGTCGTTATAGCGTCCGGCTTGTCGGTGGAGCAGGGCTGCGTGCCGAGGCTACGGGCTTTCGCAAGGTCGCCACGGGAACCAGCGGGGAAGGACACTTCGCAAAGGGAAAGGAACAAAAGAGACTAAGAGAGGGCCCCGCGGTATACAAGTACACACCTGCGATGCCTCATCGAATTTTCCCTCTGTATACGTTCCTGTTTTATTGATTGATATGTGGTTTTTTTTTAATTCACATACTGCAGCCCTTTAAGGGCTATAGCAGGAGTGGGTGAAAAAAAACAGAGCAGTGAATTACAAAAGTACCACTTCCGGGAACACACAATATAACACACGAACAAAATACAATATACATGGCAATTCCATTCAGTACAAAAATGAACATCCAATGAATGGACACTGTGGGGCGTACATATTAACAGAACAAAGCAAGGAACTATTGGTTAGATACGACTTCTAAGAGAAGGCAGGAATTGATTTATCGATGCACTCCTTTAACGTCTCAAAACCACCAGGTTTAACGTCCCAAAGCCACCATATGATTATGAGAGACGCCGTGTAGTGGAGGGCTCCGGAAATTTCGACTACGTGGGGTTCTTTAACGTGCGCTCAAAATCTGAGCCCACGGGCCTACAGCATTTCTGCCTCCATCGGAAATGCAGCAGCCGGGATTCGATCCCGCGACCTGCGGGTCAGCAGCCGAGTACCTTAGTCACTAGACCACCGCGGCGGGGTAACGCGTTTCTGTTTTTAACTGCTAATATATATATATATATATATATATATATATATATATATATATATATATATATATGTAATGTACATAATTTTTCCTCATTGTGATGTACAGAAAAGCGGATGAAGAATGCGGCTAAAAAAAGACGCGGAGAAGAAAAGACAAGTGGTCCCTTATGCAACGTCATAATTGACGTTACAGTGTGACATCGTTACCATATACGTGCTCATGAAGGGGGGGGGGGGGGGAGAGGCAGGAAGTGGCCACCTTCCTAGTTCCCTAAGAAGGGGTCGCGAAGCTTCACCCATTGACCATAATAGGGAGGGGGAGGGGCGCAAAGTCGGTCCCATACATAGACATAATGGGAAAGGGGGATGCTGCGATGTACGTTCGCCCCCACCCGCCCCCTGAAAGGAACCCTGCACACGCCCAAGGTCATCACACGATGCTTTTTTTTAATCGATCGTCTTGACGAGCGATTAAAGAAATTGAAAAAAAATTGAAACGTGGTAATTTATTTTCATGTTATATACGCCAATTGGAGACCTATTAGGCTCCATGGGCCTTTTTTTACGAATAGATGCGATTGCCTGATTGTTTGAAGCAAAGTTACTAGGATACCAATACGGAAAAGTGCTTATATTTGAGCATTCGTCCTAGCGCGGGATGCGAACCCTAGGCCAACGTGTTTCCCAAAGAGGATGCCACTTTGCCCTTATTTATCCCGTGGGCTTCTGCCGAACTGATTTGCGATTTTCGGCTTACAAATTGATGGATGAGTGAAAGGTCTTGCACCACATTCGGGTCACCATCTTAATCGTAATAACGAATTTTTTACTATATACGGTAAGACTTTTCGGTAACAGTGCTTTCATGTACTCGGACGAAAATCAGGCTCCATTTACTAGAATGTTTATCTAAATCGGAAATCTGATCGGCCGGCTGAAATCACCATACGTCGAGTCCGTGCAACAGCTATGCACAGGATGTTCCAAGTCTACTTATGAGACTTCAGTAGGCACGTTGACTCCACGGTGGGAGGTGATACGCCTGAGGTATTGCGTCCAGTACTATTGAACGCAGCAGTGTTGTTTAAGCTCGCGGGTATCTTTGTGTGTGTGTGTTTGTTCCCCTCTTTTTATCCCTTAAATGGGCCCTGAAACACTTTTTTGAGCGATCATGGAATTAATTCACTAGAAAAGTGGATTACCTCACAAATTGAACGCCGCAAAAATTTTAAGAATGGCGTTTAGTGGGCGGTAGTAGTGGTTAGAAGATGAGAAAAGGCACCTAATTTCTGCAACCTGGTCGGGAGCACGGCGCACTGCCTAAGGCGTCCAGTACGAGCGGAGTTACAAAGATTTGTCACACGCTGCAATCACATTCTTTCTTCTCTCGTCCCGACGAAAGCGCTGGAAGCTGAGCAGGGAGGGATGGGAGGGGCAAACAAAAAAAAAAAGTCACTCGCGCCTCGTGACCTTGAGCGTTTTTTTTTTTTTTTTTGTTCTTCGAATACGCGGCTTTTCAGTGCGATCGCGCGCGCACGCGTGGACAAGTGACGGTCTCTCGCGGCGACCTCTGTAACAAGCGAGCGCGCCATGTTCAAATCAGCCAAAGGCTGATAGGTGGGCTTACTGGGCTTATTTTCAGTGATTTGTCGAGAGAAGAGAAAGCTATTTTTAGTTGACTTTGATAATTTATTGTGATTTCCAGGCCGCGTGCTGTGCTATTATATATGACTCGCGTGTTCTCGGGAGCCACTACTACCGATCGGCAGCGTTTTCTGACTATGCTCAAAAAGTGTTGCAAAGCCCCTTTTATACCCCCCCCCCCCCATGGCGTAGCATAGCAAACCGGAAGCGCGTCTGGTCGACCTCCTTGTCTTTCGTTCCTCTTCCTCGTCCTTATGATTGTGGACTCAGTCGCACTTGTTCGAATCTCCTTGGGCGAGCGCGCACGCGGAGGAGGTAAACGCAGAAGCATGCCTCTCTCAACCTTAACGAGAGGGTCCACCGAGCTGTGTGAAAACTGAACGCGGCTTGCACTGGTGGCAACCCGACGACCCGCAGACACTGCAAAAGGACGGGAGTGCAGCGGCGCCGGTGATATGGAAGACGAAGGAAACGACGACGCAGCTATATACAAGACGACAGTGGCAGACCGGTCACTTGCTTGTGCGCTGTATGAGCAACGAAGAGAAGCGTATACCCACCACCGCATAAACTAGACAGGTCTCAAGAAACGCGTGGGAGAAGATTGCAAACCGGAACCTTCTAAAATCTACATTTTCAGTGAATGCCCGCGAGCGAGCTGTGAGATTTGCAAGCACGAATACGCAGGCATGGCGCATATATTTGGAAATGCACGCAGGTCGGAGTCACCTGCAGAGAGGACAAGTAAAACGCGACCCTATCGTGGAGCGGCGGCCAAGCAGACATACAGGCCGGTCGAAAGTTCCCAAGCCACTATCCCATGTAATCCAATCACAGCGTGGCCTGGGAACCTTTGACCACCACCACCCCCTCCCCCGTACCTACACGACCAACTGTTGGCAACCCAGCTGGCTTAGGCAGTGGTTGAAAGGGCGTGCTTTACCGCGTGTAATGCGCGGGAGGCCTGATCTCTGTTACGTATTCGGTGGCCTAAGGTGCAGACGACCAATAACGCAGTGCCAGGATGACAAATCCCAGTTAAATTGTGCGACGCGTTTTGAACGCTACGCAGCCATTTGGGGGGGGGGGGGGGGGGCAGGAAAGTAAGAAAGCAATATAACAGAGCAAGCGGAGCAATCTTATCTGATGGCCCAAATGTAGAATGCGGTAAGCACTGCGAACGGCAAGTACCGGCACGCGTTCATTCCATTCAAACTTCCCGCAATTTGATTCTCATAGAGAAAACACACACAAACAGTGCCTGAATAAGCGTGTGCACGAGCGCTACCTTGCGCTAGCTTTTGCATAGCCGCTTTTTGTGTTCAACAAATTTCTGGCTCATAATATATTTTTTTTTGTAAACACTGTCAGCAAAAGCTAGTCTGGCAAACAACACCCCTGTTTTTCTCTAGCTAGACTCCAGCGCCCGCGTTATGCTTCAGCCGCGATTTTATTTGTTTCACGACTTTGGCTACGGTCGGTAGCGGTACGTTTCCAGCCTCATCGACGCGTTATTAGGGTCGTCTGCTTCGCGGCACTGACTCACAACACTCAGCGGCGGCGTTGCTTTGTCGAAGCGAAGCTCTCCGACACGGCACTTGAGATTATTGGTCACATACAGTGTTTATCCGCTCTACTAACGCTTCGCCGCGCGTGACAGCTGCGGTCGATCAATACTCGAAGCCTCTTTTCGGTCTCGCCGATATCTGTCTATCCGTCGTTGCCCCGTTTCCACGAGGTTTTCACTCGTGTCCCTCCTCTCTCTCTCTCTGTCGTTCCTATCGCCCGAAGTAAACAAAACGCGCGTGCCTCGAAAACTAAAAAAACAAAAGACTGTACGCCACGCTGGCTGTATTGCGTCGGCCCCCGAGTGTTAACGTTAAATGCGCGCGCCTCCTTGATAACCGCAAGCGTCGGTGAGAGACGACGCCCCTCTCGAAAGAACTCCGCTCTCGCTTTCGCGAAGTACGTTCGGTGTTCCGGCGTAATCTACCATCCCTCGAGTCTGCACTTGTGCCATTCGTGGACTGACCCCGTCGTAATCGAGCGACCGAGCTTGAGGAAAAGAAGAGCGCGCGCTTGTAGTGTTCCGAGAAGTGTTCATTCGCTGCGCGCGGCCGCTTTTCGGAGGCGATCGCGGTGCGAGTGTGTGGGTAGATCGAGCGGACCCATGAGCCTGTACGTTGTGCGTGGACGTCGCTTCGAGCGGGTGCTGACCGCTTCGAAGACCGTCGATGTGGACGATGACGACTGGCGGACGCCCAAACCGTACGTTGTTGCATTTTCGCGATCGTTGGCAGATGCTGCGCTGGCCTGTTTTATTGCACTTGTGTGGGCGTGTTCTGCGTAGCGGTAGCGGCACGTCCGGGAGTTTTGTACACGCGGACGTTATTAATGATTGTGGGGCTCGCGTTTGACGATTTCGATCGTGGCGTGATCGGTGAATAACACTTGATCGCGTACAGTGTGTGGAGCGCGGTGTTTTTTACGTTTTTTTTTTTCATCATCGCCTTCCTTTTCATTTATTGAGCCATTTCTCCTTCATTCGGCGCTGCGTTTATTTCTTGTTAACGTAATGGACACGTATGATAGCCTCTGTTAGAAGAAGAGAAATAATAATAAACTCTGTATGTACAACTTAATTGACGTGGCGCGGATGAGGGATTAAAGGTGATTGGTCGATATATTACAAACACCTAACGTGCGAACACGTATCAGTTCAACGACAAAAGACGAAAAAAATATTACGTTATGTGCTGGAACTCTCGTTTCTGGTTCAACTGGAAACATGATTTTAAACGTACAAAAATTGTAACTGGCAAAGCTAATGTATGCATGTCAGCATGTAAACAATTTAATATGGCTTTAGGATTTTTACGCTCTAGGCATACTCCCGAAAGTCAGCTGCTCATGCCCTGTAGTCTTCAAAAGTTTGTGCAGTCATTAATCTACTCAACGATAACCTACATTTCTCATCGGTACCAGTGTGGTACATCTCAAGCAGACCCACATAAGAACTACATGTTAAAAAAGTTTCAACGTTCTTGATGTGGCAGTGCCAGCTTAGTTAATTGTGGGGTGCTGATCAACTATTGATGCTAGCGTTCTTGATGCACCAGTGCCAGCTTAGTTAATTGTGAAAGGCTGATCAACTGTTGATGCTGGCTGTTCACTGCTTTAATGCCAACGTATTGCATCTCATAAGCATGCATGATAGTACTTCTTTTGGTGCAAGCCTGTGAAACATCGTATTTCATCTTCGGTGCACTGCTGTTCAAGCACATCGCTTGTACTTACTTCAAGAACAGGAATGAAGCAGCTGTTTATGTAAATTTGATGCGCTGAACAAATATAATATATAGACTTAGAAAACTAATTGAATTTATGAGTGAGAGTGCTCATTGAAACCTATTGTAAATTTTACGCATGTGATAAAGACTGACACTAGAGGCAGTGTGCAGCTATGTATTCCCGTGCTTGCACATTACTCAGAACGACGAATTTGGCAAACTGCAAGTAATGTCTATCTTATTGTAGCAAAATGCTACTATGAAGGGTCTTATTTCATAGTCTTTCTTGACATAAACTTCGCGTTCGAAGAAAACTTCGCACTTTTAATGCACTTGCTCTGTGACAAATATCAGCCATCGGGCTGAACAGCTCCAAGAAAATCAAAATGACTGCGGGAAATTCGGTCTTCGCAAATGTTTCTGACGAGGAGAAAATTTTGTTTAACAAGAAACTGCCATCTTCCTGACTGAATTCGAATGTGACAGGAAGTGACATTGATGTTTTCAGTGTTCACTTCGTGCCAGTTCAAAGCTGCATAATTCGGTACAATAAACACTTGTTAAACAGAACCTGATGGAAACAGGAAAATGTGTTCTCTTCAACATGAGTTTCATTTACTAATACTTGAACAGGGGTAAAGAATTAAGGTATGAAACCAATCATATCAGAGCGAGTCATTCATTTTAGGCTGCAATAATGTTTTTAAAAATTCATTTGATGAGAATCTAGTGTATTTAGTAGTTCGAAGCTTGGTTGTTGAAAGCTCCACAGTTTAAGAAAAAAAAATAGGTCTGGATGTTTTTTTGTCCCCGAACACTCGCACACACTGCAGATATTAACAGATACTCTGTGACCATGAAAGTTGTGCAGTTTTGTTACATGTGCAAGATTTCCGGCAGTGCACTCACCGGAAAGGGTCGCTGATAAAAGTTTATCAAGGAACGCTCATCCTGTTGCAAAATGTGTGCCAATCAAGTCGAAAAGGAGCGTCCGAACTGCTGCAGTGCAGCGCGAACTAGAGAGGGACGGGTACGCGAACCTGTCTAACGAACGTCTCGTGAAGTTGCACAAACAGGTTTCTCGGCGATAAAAAGAGCCAGTCAGTGTAGTGGCTGTGTCGCAAGATTGCTTACCTCTTGCCGCCAGGGCACAATCTCCTCTAACAGCAGCACTCGAAGCTGTTGCTTTTGCACCCTGCAGTGATTGCTTATCCCCCTCTCGTTCCCTTTCAGATACACCAATGCAGAGTACGAGGAGGTGCAGGCATCGCTCAGCGCTCATGGCCAGGAGCACCTGCTCAGGTTCTGGCCGCAGCTCACCGAGGAGCAGAGATGCCAGCTGATGACCGATTTGAGGTAAATGCCCTCGGATGACTGCGTGCATACACTCTAAGGAAAAAGAAAATCGAGTATTTGGGGGAGTAAATCTGCCACACAATTATAATTGTCATCTGTCTTGTGCAGCGGCTACATTTCAATGAAGGCGACATGAGGTCCATGTGGTTAGGTTTAGGTGCTTGTTAAAGAACACCAGACGGTCAATTTCAAAATCCCTTCACTATGGAGCGTTTCTAATTATTATATCGTAGGTATGCGACATGGAAACCTAAAATTGAAATATTATCAGTCTTGCGTACTTTCCTTGCATCAACGCTGCAATTCTGCTCCTTCTTAGTCATTTAACAGTGTGGACACTATCAGGGTGATATGGAATTTTTTTATAGGAAAACACCGAAAGCCAGGTTTTCAAGAAACGAAATGTGAGCAAGGCAGACGATGACTATAGGTTTGTGGCAGAAATACTTCTAAAATACTACTTTCCTTGGAATGCTGCCATGTCTTTTGCCATAACAGAGAAAACGAGCATCAAAAAAAGTTTTGTACGACGTCTCGATCACTTGTTTGAGATTGGATTAATTCAATGTCAGCCTTGCCTGATAAACTCAAATCAAATTTCTACACACAGTATGTACAACCGATCTTGAGGACTTTTAAGTCAGCAAGGCTTGATGTTGTCCATGACCCGATTTTGAGACGGCAACAAAACAAGTCAGAAAAAGTCCAGCGTTGAAAAAACAGAAATAATGGTGTAGAGGTTCACATTCAGAACTCCGAGATACATAATACATATTTAAAAATACTCTTGGCCATGAATACACTATGCAAAGCTTCAAAGCTAACAGGAAAAAAAAAAGAATAAAAAAAGAATTTCGAAGTTTTATGCAACATAACATAGAAAACATTTAATTCGACTGCGTGTACAAAACTTCATGTTCATAATACAAAGAGCGATAAAAAGGAAACAGAATTTTCATACAAGAAATGCACCGCATTATAAGCACAGGCACATGAGTGCATGAAGTTACACTCATGTTTATTCTATCATGCAATATGAAGCAACGTATGTTTTTGTTTTTTATTTTTGTGTGTGTGTGTTGGAGTGATATGGTAGTCTACAACAAAGCATCTGATAGGTATAACTCAGTTGGCAGGTAGACGTCTGTAGTTCCCTAATTTCAGACCTCCCTGTATTGCTTGTTTCATGTTTTGGCATTAAGTTAGAATGAGGTTTTAGAGTGGTGTTGTTTTTCTGAATACATTTTTATGAATGCTCGGCATTAGTAGCTGAATAATTTTTTTTCAAATAGACGACTAGTTAAAGTTAAGCAATGAACATTTAGAATACTATGCCAGGCTTTTTTCTACATTCTATGTAGGGTACTGATGTAGTGACAGATAGCCTACATTAGCCGACAGTACCTAAAATTTGGCATATACTGCTGATTGTTGCCAAGATCTGCCTATACCTAGCCAATGCTAGCCAAAATGAGCAATAATTCAATCATGTTTAGGCAGCATTAGTTAGCACTAGCTGTCATTATCCGGTAATAGTTCAAGATAAATCGACACTACTTGAGTTCAGTTGGAAGTATCGCTTATAGCTTATTTTAGAGGGTGTGTGAACAAAATCCAGGTATACATCGTCAAATTTCTAGCTTCAATGCTGTGCTGAGACCCTAAATGAACCACAGTCTGTTTGCATTGGTTAGGTAGATGCCGTACTGAATAATGCTTCAATGTAGCCATTAGCTAACTGCATCACGGTAAAGAAGGCGACATAGTCTGCCCTTTCAGGGAATAATGTTGACGGGACATCTTTAGGGTTTCATAGCCCCTCATTTCTGAACTTTCCTTCTTAGAGATTCTTTGAAAAGTGGGTTACGCCCTTGTTCGCAAACATTCGGAACAGGTATTGCTACTGCCATATATATGTTCTACATCGACGTGTACCTCTGGTATTCACAGATTCTTTGAGTGGGAGAGGGACAGCTGCAATTCTTGAGGGGTTACCTGTATTTGTGGTCAACTGCAACTTTCTCACCTTTGGTTTCCAAGAACTTGAATTTGCAAAAGTCATCTCCTGTAATCATAATGAGCGAGCGCAGCGTTGCGAGTCCGGTTAATTCAGCGCACCTCAGCTGCAGTGCATTCACAACAAACAGGCAAAAGAAAACACAGTGTCACGTGTGCCTTATTGTGTGCCTTCATGTTGTCAAATCAGGATTTTAATTCAACTGAAATGATAAATTGTTGAACGGGACGTGTCACTGGAGTCAAGTGTTCTGACGAGTGAATTTGACTTCTTCAAAGAAGGTTTAATTAATAACGAGACACTTCAAGGACGCTTTAATTAATAACGAGACGTGTAACGCACTCTTCCAACTTATGCACTTGTTTGGTAGTTAAAAGAAAAAAAAACTTTCATCTTTATCCGTGTAGGCATTGCAGATATATTAGTACGGCCTTTCGTAAGCTGCGTTTTCATCCACACATTTACTGAAGGGGGCTAGAAGTTGAATTCTCTTCACTGTTTTGGTATATTTAATTTGTTAGGCTCATACTATAGATAGCTGTTCGAGAGTTGACAGCTCTTGAAATTGAAAATTTCCCGAAGCCTGGGTTTCTTCAAGCAAGGCTTGACTGCGTAGTTACGCTTTTATTGTGCACGTGCTACGAGAAGAGCAGCCCTGCCAGGTGAGCTGGCAGTTCCTGTTCATTCTTATCCTCAGTTAACTGCTCTCGCAACAGCTGTGTGAATGCTGCTGTGGAAATCCACATCTGTTTCATGGGAACTGTCTCTTAGGAGCCTGCCTGTTGTTTCGGTTGTGAAAGGGCCACGTTTTCCTTTCAGGGTTTGTTACCATGCAGACACCAACTGATATTACATTTCCTCGCATGTTTAGCCTTTTATTTGCCCTGTATTCTTCATTCATTCATTCATTTGTCATTGCAATGGAAGAAGACACTGAAGTTGCAATCCATTAGTTGTACTTCCTACGACTGATTGGTCTAGTGCTTAAGAAGCTCGAGTGCTTGACCGAACGTTGCACGGAATGCGTGTTTTTTCAAACTCAAATGAAGTTCGAAGTTTGAAGTTTATTTTGCTTCCATTACAGAAACAAGCAGTTACATGCAACAAGTTACATGCAGCACTGCAACTGGCATTGTAAAATGTATTTTAAAGTTTTCAAGTATGGTGAGAAGTGCAGGAATATCAAAATTAGTACTCTCTTAGGTACATTCTAATATAAACATTAAATGTCAATCTTAAAATGACCATGCAGTCTCCACAGCAGATGGTATTGACAGCACTCTGTGCAAACACTAGGTTTCTTGATTAGTCTTGGCTTTCTGAGGCGTTCTACCCATTCTATGATAGAATGTTTGTTTGCGCCACACAGGATTGGTTGAGGCTCATCTGTTGGTCTGACGTGAAAACAGCAATAGAGAAAATCAAAGCTGCCAATAATTTTGTCGTCTCCTAGGCAAACAATGAGCACACATCAAATGGAGACTCTATTTCATTCAATGGAAAGGAAATGGAAGGGTCTCTGAAAAACTTGGATTCGATGAAAATGCAAGGTTTTGGGCTCAAGAATCAAATTAGCCTAATTCGTATTTGGCTTAATCCAATCTTGTACAGATAGTCTCGTGAAATTGTAATGCCACCTAGCACCCAATTAAGACAATAAAAATACATTGTTAAAGTAATTACGCTCCTCAGTTTCAAGCTTTCAGAGACTTTGCCTCTTAATATTGATGCTCAGTTAAAATAATTCTATACTTCATCGTGTGTTGCAAACATTCCTGAATTGCCTCAGCTTGCCTATTGGCTGCTTGTTTCCTGTCATTCTCGCGTGACTTCGCATTTCATTTGCTCTCTGTAGACGTGATAGATCGTGCGCCTGTATCAGTACATCAGAAAATAGTATCGCAAACTTGCACCTCGCGCAGGTACATCGACTATGCGAGGACATCGTCAGCGTTCAAGCAGGCGACCGATGGGGGATCGGGTGATGTCGAAAGCCTGGATGACCTCCTGGAGCCCATTCCCGCCGACAGGCATGGTTCAGTCTCTCGGTGTTCGCCCGAGAAACTCGAGGCGTACCGCAACAAAGGTGGGTGTTGGCAAGTGTGTGGTCAGATTTGGTGCGTTTATAGATTGCAACGTTTGTTGCCTGTCAAGCCTACTCTATATTTTTACCTATATTGTTGTTTTAAGTTATTTCGGGCTAAAGAAGCAACAGCGACACAAAAATTTTGCAGCCTTTTTTTTTTTCGCAACAGGTAGCTTATAACCCACCTATCACGGCTGGAAACCTCGTTTGTGCGAGTGCACGGCGGTTATTTATTTAGAGACGTTTTTCGAGCACCCAGTGACAGTTTCGGTTTCAAAGAATGTCGGGCTGAGTAAAAGCAGTTTCGATAGCGACGTAAGCACTGACACGAAACGAGGGGAACACAGCTGGCCACATGTTTACTCAAGACTGTGATGCGGCGGCGCACCTAAGTGGGCGCAGCACTGACAGCAAGCACAGCCAACACACGCAAAGCCGTAGGCACAGAGGAAGAAATGGAACAGCCAACACAAACTCGTGACGCATGTTTGTTTACACTCCCGCCACGCTGATGTAGGCGTCGCGAGGGCTCCACATCTCGCTCAGTCACACGTGGTGTGCACTTTCAAATTGTATTAAATATGTTGTTGTATTTGCCCCTGATATTTCGTGGATGTTGTGCGTGTTATAAATAGCCCCGCCGCAGTGGTCTAGTGGCTAAGGTACTCGGCTGCTGACCGCATGTCGCAGGATCGAACCCTGGCTGTTGCAGCTGCATTTTCGATGGAGACAAAAATGCTGTAGCCCTGTGTGCTCAGATTTGTGTGCACGTTAAAAAACCCTAGGTGCTCGAAATTTCCGGAGCCCTCCACCATTGCGTCTCTCATAACCATATGGTTTTGTGACATTAAATCCCACATATCAATCAATGCATGTCTCTAGATAAATCTATCTCACTCATTATCTTGCCGTCAAAATTTTGTGTCAGTGCTCTTTTAAGGGCTTCAAATTTTAAACTCTATTTGAAAGCGAAATAGAGCTTTTGGGCAAGCATCATGTCCGAGGCAGATGTAAGTCATACATAATATTTATGAAATTAGTGGATACAGAGTAGTATTCACAGGGTTCTACCACTCCTTAAATGTGCTTCTATTGACAAACTGCAAAATCACCTGAACACTTGGATTTACATGTATACCAATAAATTTAGTTGGTTGAAATTAATACAGAGTTCCCCTGCTGGGTGGCACGTTTCATAATCGCATGTAGGGGTATTCGCCCGCAAAACCCCAAACTTTATTTAATATGCCCTTTAACATTCATTTTAACATTATGACGAATACGAACTAACTAGCCCCCCTTATGAGCCTGCCCTTTCTTTTACTTGCTACAGTGGCATAGAGGTTACAGAGCTTTCTTGCCGACCCGGAGATCGTGGAATTGGATCTCGGCCACTGCGTCTGTGTGTTGTTAGAAGCAAAAAGCTAGAGGTACACGTGCTTAGATTGAGGTGCATGTTAAAGAAGACCAGGGGGTGAAAATTTCCGGAGCCCTTCATTGTGGCATCTTTCAATCATGTTGTGGTTTTGGGAGAAGAAACCTGCGTAAAGTTATTGCCGTTGCCCTTTCTCTTGCCTGCCAGGCTTGGAGCTGGTGTCGGAAGGCAAGGTGGCCGCACTGCTGTTGGCCGGCGGTCAGGGCACCCGCCTGGGTGTCCACTACCCCAAGGGCATGTACGATGTGGGCCTGCCCTCGCACAAGACGCTCTACCAGCTGCAAGGGGAGCGGCTCTGTCGCCTGGCGCAGCTGGCTCAGGAGCTCACCGGCAAGCGGGGAAACATTCCCTGGTGGGTGGGTGCTGTGGCCTGATGACATGGCATCTCGTTAGCTGTTAGCAAAGATATCACACAATAATGGGCACACTTACCCCTTTCATTCGGAAATGTGTTCTAACATCAAGCCATGATCTGACTTGGACTAGTCCAGATCAATGACGTCTGACATGAATGTGTCCAAGACACTTGTTGCGTATCCGTTCCTGCATTGATGTCAGCCACCACAGCAGTCGTTTCACTCTTGTTGGGTGACACATTCATCCCAGTTATATCGCGAAAATGGGGCATTGCCATCAACCTATGCACCTTTGTCTAGTTATGGTCTTATTTACGGATACACTGTTGTCCACTTTGGCCACGACTGTTACAGAAAGTCGCATGTAACATTAAAGAAAAAAAGTTTTAGTACACAGCGAAAACATTGCGTTTCGTACATAAATATTTGCAGCACTAAGGCAGTGAAGGGGGTGTTTGATGTGATATAAAATGTGCTAGGGAACATGTCGTACATCAGGATTACCGTTCTTTACATTAGATGTGGAGCTTGCTAATTGAAGCAATTGCGTAGATGTCATGAAACTATTAACGTTGATAACACAAACTTACAAGCGAGCTTCCTCCTTCATCTGTTGCCTTGATGGTGCTACACGCTTGGTTATAACAGCTGGTCGTTGGTCCACAGGTACATCATGACGAGCGAGCACACAAAAGAACCCACGCTCGAGTTCTTCGCAAAGCACGACTTCTTTGGACTTCAGGAAGATAGCCTGGTCGTGTTCGAGCAAAACATGATGCCCTCGTTTACGTTCGATGGAAAGATAATCCTAGAGACACCATACAAGGTTAGTGATTGCAGTCCCACTCGGTTTAGTGTTTTCAGTGTTTGTGGTTTGAAACAAACGCTTGCTTCTGTTGGGCATGTCCTTAGGTGTGCGTGTATTCTAACCTATTCGTACTCGCTTTGGTAGCCGCTAAGCCAGCACAGCAAGTAGGAATAAGGTTTTGCACAACTACAACATCAGCAAAGTTGAGAGCCATGCGGTGAAGCCAATTCTCCAGTAGAAAACATAATTTTACTGCTTCTTTTTTTTTACAGTACTACAATTTCACATAGAACTGGAAAACGAAAAAGGTGATCTTGGAGTGTTCTTTGAAAAAATAACTCTGGAATTAAAGAGGCTTTCTGGGTGTGGGTGTGTTGTATTTCAGTTGAAACTTGATTTAACCCTTTGAGATGTCTTGTACACCATTGTGTACACCGCTCGTTTTCGCTGTTTGGATCACGTGGAGGCTAAGAAAGAGCAAGATATATCATACTTTGGATGAATTGAACCTTCTGCATTATAAATTTGTCATGTTTAACTTCATTTTACAGTGTACTGATACATACGAGCACTTTCCTGATTACTAGTCGTGTGACGTGCTACTTCCTTCAAGCAATGTGAAAAGCGGATTCTTTTTTTTTCTTAAAGTGTGCATAACCAAAAATGAATTTGCACTATATTTTTAGCCCAAAATTTTACTCTGTTTATGCCAAAAGCAATCGTCAATGACTTCAGGGTAAAAGGATATTTAATTACAACTTAATTAAGATTAGTCATCATAGCACACATAAATTGAACAATTATCTCGTTATTCTTGTCACACAGGTATATTGAGTGCTTTGAAGTAATGTTGTAGTGATTTGATGCATCTACAGACAGCTTTTTATAGGTGGCATTTGAAAAGGGTTAGCAAAGTGATGGCCACACTCGAATGAGTTCATTAAATTGTGAAATTTGCAAAATTGATGAAGATTTTTCTACCCTCGAAAATAGAACAATTGTTACGTAGAAACACACAAAAGCTATCACGGCCTTTTTTGTTTGCCTTTGACACATGCCTGTGGTGTGAAAATTTTGCGACGGCAGCCCGGACACGGAGCCTACGCTGAATGGCCGATAAAGGCGTGGTAGACGGTCGCGCTGAAGCTGTGACGAGCTGCCAATATGCAAAGACGGGGAGGACGAATGCAAGGATTGTGCAAGCAGGCTGAGCGAAGAAAGTTGCGAAGAGCTGGTCAGTGCCATCTGTCGACGTTGAACAACAAAAACAACCACTGCATTCCTGTGGGAGCATTGACAGGGATAACAAACTACCGCTACCCGCAACGCCATTCGGTACGTAAAAGCGTTAGACTGCTAGGTCCATTGTTCGGTGCTTGGAACGATGTGCAGTGCAGCCGTATCAAGATTGAATTCAGGGTCAAGACTAGGATGGCTAAATATTTTAACGCAATAGTGTTACAGCGTGCCCCCGAAGAAAAACCAAACCTATGTCCAAATGAGAAAAAAATTCGCTGCATTTTCTACACATATATTTTGGGAAAGGCTTTCTAATATGAATTTAGTTCCAGGACAGCTTTGTTAATTTTAGTTGGTGACAACATCGAAACTGCTATGAATAGCTGCTGGGGAATGGAAATTTGTTGTCGCATCGAAAAATTCCTAAAGTCGTGTTTCATTTGATAGTATTTTGCTCGTACATCAGTGATCTCGACGTTTCCATGATGCTCAGGTGTCCATGTCCCCGGACGGCAACGGTGGACTCTACAGTGTCCTGCAGAGGAAGGGTATTCTGGCTGACATGGAGCGGCGAGGCGTCAGCTACATTCACGTCTACTGTGTAGACAATATTCTCGTTAAGATGGCTGACCCCACATTTGTCGGCTACTGCGTCTCTAATGGTGCTGACTGTGCAGCAAAGGTGCGTCTTGGCATTTTAGGAAATATTTTTTAAGCTCTAACGATAAGTGATGCAGTGCTAATTGCTTCAGCACGTACATATTGTCTTGGCTATTGACACTTTATGTGTGTTCACTCTGCGTGTGAGCAACTTCATGATTCCATTATTGAAACAACTACGTATTCTGAATCATTTGCACACGTATATGTGATAAAATTGATAGAAAGCTTTCTGCACTTTCTATAATCGGGGCATATTTTGAGCAGTATGTTAAAGAACCCCAGGTGCTTAATGCCAAATGTGCTTAATGTCAAATGATTGTAAGTTTGTAGGTGCTTGCATTTTGGGCATGTCTGGCATTCTAGTCAGTGCTACAGTATAAGAGGGTGAGACAACATACCTGTCAATCAAAGCTTTTTAAACCATTGGGTCCATGTAATAAGTTGCAGGTAAGATAGAGAATACCTAGTATATATCATTAGGTTATTGTGGGGACTTGTGCAGAATGTCTCGTCAGTCTGTTTAGCTGCTATTGTGGGATCATATATTGAATACGAAAGAGCAGATGAGAGTGACAGGTTGTTACTTAATCCCATTATCAACTAGATACCTTGCCGACCAATCCTGTTTACTTTGTTGTCATTTTATGAGCATCCAACTTTGAAGCCATGTGCAACCAATTTATGATACCCAATTATAATGTTCAGTGATTTAATGGAATAATAAAATGAAAGTAAATTCATTTTGTACACCTTAGCTAAAGGGCCAGTAAACAACCCCGCTGTCCAAGATGTCATTGAAGTAATAACTGCACACTTGTACAAAGTGGGCATGCGGCCATGAATAAGCGCTGTAATAAGGAACTTAAGAGTGTAGAACAACCCCCATTGGCTGGTTTTGATTTCTCGCTTGGCCTTTTCAAATTATTTACAGCTGAGTAGGGCACGTGTGGGCCATTGTGCTGACTATACCCACATCAGCAGTGTAACACAACAACAGCGATTTTGTCATCATCGGCAAGCGACGAATGAGCGAGCAAGGCTTCTTCCACCTGTCGCTCGTGTCAGAGCGGCACTATGGTTACCCTGGTGACACTGTGGAGAAGCGGGGTAACTGCACAAGCGAAATCGCATCACCGCATCACCGCAGGGCACCGTTTTTACTGAAAATGACTGCTCAATGAACATGTGTCATGTAGAGTGGTCCATGGGCAACTTTACAGAGCTCCACGATTTATGACGCAGATTGACTATGGGGAACTTACAATTCTGTGGACAAGGAGCACTGGACAGGCGCTATAGAGGGGCGTGGAAATAGTTTTCAGAAACGGCGCGTCTGCACGACATGCAGCATTCATAAAATCATAAAGCATTCCGGGACTTTCATAAAATGCGGTTTGCTGCAGCTTTCTGCATGAAAAGTTTGAGCTTGTTCACTGGCCCTCTCTTTAATGCAAGCACCTGAAATGAAAAAATGAAAGGATCAAAAGGGGCACGTCTTTAATCAAACAGTCTTCTTGTAGGTCGTGGAGAAGGCGTTCCCCACAGAAGCCGTCGGGGTTGTCTGTCGGGTGAAGGGCCGCTTCCAGGTGGTCGAGTACAGCGAGGTGTCCCTACGAACGGCTCAGCGTCGAAACCCCGACGGCCGGCTCACCTTCAACGCGGGGTCCATTTGCAACCACTTCTTCACCCTTGACTTCCTCAAGCGGGTGTCCGCGTAAGCCTGATTATTTATAGTATAAACTCTTTAGTGGAGGAGACTGCTTTCGTGAGGACCAGGTTCATTCGATGTGCAATGCTGGTGGTGCACGTAGTGCCATTTGACTGATCTAATCTCGCTCGTTAAGTTCACAGGGCCGTCTGTAGCCATTTTGCCACACATTGCAGAATAATCGCACGCATTCAACAATGCAGACATCATTCCTGACACATACACATAAATTCGGGGACCTTTATTTTAAAAGCAATCTGGGACATTTAAGAAACTTGCTAGACGGTAAGGTGTCTTGCATCGAGAGACAACTATCTAACTGGTTTATAATTGTTGATAACAATGATAACCCACCGAGACACCGTAAATGGCAAAAGAAATAACGTCACGCTATTATTCACTGCAAAATGCTTCTATATTTTACATGTGATATCTACCTCAAACCGAATGTCAATTTACACATAGACTCTTGTGCTGGTGTTGGCAGAGAATGTGCAAGTTTTGTTTTGAAGGAGGAGACTCTTTTATATATATATTTATTCGATGCTTACGTACATGTTTTTGTGACAGACAGTGTTCTCCCTGTAACTCTTAAGTACGATGGCATGCGCTTAAACCTCACTATAACGAAGGGACACCTTGGATGAAAATAAGTTTGTTATATTTAAAAATTCGTTACAAAGACATATTTCTAACACTGTACCTTTTGAAAGACTATTGTTCATTTACTTTGTTGTAACTGGTATTTTGTTATACCCTGGTTTGTTATATTGAGGTTTCAGTGTACAATGCAGTCTCTTCTGGCGTTTCGCTAATCGCTGTGCTTTTATAGAGGTGTGAACATTGTTTTTATAAATGGTAAATAAAAGTTTCTTGCTGTTCTTCTGGCAGCATTGGGTGCATCAGGTTAAGAAAAAATCCCAGCGCTGCATTACTCTCACATTTCACCTATTCAGATTTGACAAAGTGCAGTGCATGCACACGCTGCACGCTTATGTGCATGCTATCATCCGAACAAGTGTGTCAAATGAAAATTGAAATAGGCTTTTTCTTCTTTTGCACAGTGGTACAATTTTTGCTTCTTCGATTGTATTCTGTCAGGGGTACGAGTCTCAAGTACCACGTGGCCAAGAAGAAGATTCCGTACGTGAACGACCTCGGAAACTTGGTGAAGCCTGACAAGCCCAACGGCATCAAGTTGGAGATGTTCGTCTTTGACGTCTTCGAATACGCCGAGTGAGTCAACATTTCCAATCTGGGCTACTTAGACCTACAATGCTTGCAGACATCACTGGCCGTTTTTCAATACTCACTCTAGCTGTAATTGCCAACAGCTCCATTACAGCAGTCATCTTTAGTTTCTTCCTGATTCTGATTAAGCTTGCAAAAAAAAAAAAGGGTAGCTTTGCAGAGGTACTGTACTTGCCACATTGCTGTACACTCACACCTCATGAAAACAAAGTCACACCTCCCACAAAAACACTTCGTTATACCCGAAAGTTTGTTATAAGTGTAATTCCTAATGCTGTATTTATTACAAAACCATTATTCACTTACTTTGTTATAACTGATCAATTTGTTATATCCGGGATTGTTATACTGAGGTTTAAGCATTAGCTAAGTAACAAGGTGGCTGTTCAGAAAGGCTCGGAAACCTGACGAGAAGGTAGCTCGCAGGTAGACACGTTTTTCTATTGGTTTTGGATAATGTGGAACTGGGTGATCAGACCAATTGGGCTACAAAAGTTGGAGTACGCTTGAGCTTCATCTTCAAGAGTAGTGTGCAAGAGCGTAATTGGGCCTCGTTTGCTTCGCCTCCTAGTCACTAACTTGACTTCCCTCCGAATGTGGACAACTTCGGTCATGTTGCGAGGAAAGGCATGCTTGTGTGCATTACAGTGGCAGTTTCGAACTATCCTGGGATGTGTGCTGCAAGTGTAGTTGCGAAGTGCCGGCCGGTTCTTTCTTCTTCTTGTAGCAACTTCTTCGTCTGGGAAGTCCTGCGAGAGGATGAGTTCTCACCTCTCAAGAATGCCGAGGGTGCCGCCAAGGACACGCCGACCACCGCACGCCACGCTTTGTACAGCCTGCACCACCGCTACATCCTCAGCGCAGGTGGCAAGCTCGTTGACGAGGATGGCTGCCCTATTCCACTAATTCCGAGGTGAGTTCACTGGCGAGCATGCCTTGCATAGCTTTTCTCATTATCCAGTTTTTCTCTGTCATGACACTGTTCTCATAACATATGTAACCTTGGTCAGTTTGGGCATGTTGGCAAGAGCCGAAGCTTGATACGCTTCAAAGTAATTTAAGCGAAGCCTTTACACCTCTGAGATTTGGGCACTGTACATGTAAAACATTATGCTGGAAAGCATACAAAAATGTGGTCCTCAGAGGTGCAGTTTGTACGTGCCGTTTCACAATAACCGATGCTCTTTCAATTGTGTGGGCTTGTCAGCAATAAGTCGTTTCTGATACGACAGTCTGATCTTTTTTCAAGGTGACTTGTCCTCTCACGTTGCCACGTTTCATTGTTGCCTGGATATGAATGCATGGCCATCGTTTTTGCCAGTAGCAACTGAAGTGTTCGGCTGCAAGGCATGTGAATGAAGAGCGTCAAAATTTAAGGATCTGCTGTGCCTCTCACTGTTTCACATCTTCCAGACTGCTCCGAAAGATTTCGCTTCTGGAGATAATAGATGTCAAGTTGACAACTCTCAATATAGAGCAAATGAAAAATGCCTTTTTAATGATTGCAACCCAGCTAGATGTGCATGACCTGCCTTGATTTAGTGTATCAGCCGATACCTGGAGGCTGCGTGCGATTCAGTTGGTTTTCTACATTTTACCATCTACGGCATTTGCAAGTTGTGCTTGTATGCAATTACGTTGAAATCCTTTTGACATGTTTTGTACGCCGGTGTTTCAGCTACGACCTTGAGTAACTTAGTAGAAGTAGTCCTCCGAAAACAGTGGCTGCTTCTTTTTCTTTGGCTCCGCATTACTAGTGGCAGCGGGTGTCTGCGATTAGGAAAAAATACAGTGGAAATTTGCAGTGGTAGATTAGTGACTAATGCGTTGAATGGCCAAGTGCGAAGGCATGTGTTCAATTCTCAGCCAACCACAGCTAAGTTTTAATGAAGGCAAAACGAAAAAAAATTTCTATGTAGCTAGTTTTTGCCTTATTAGAATTGTATCAACTGCACTACGTTTAAAGGGCCCCTGAACAGCCTCTAAAAACACAGAGAATGAGCGCATTATTCTCTCCTGGCGTTCCTGTCTCTCCGTCTCATTCTCAGACGCTAACAGTCTGTTGATGCAACGTCACGAGGAAACAAGTACTCGATTGGTCCTCATAAGAGAGATACCAGTTGCATGGCTAATTTGCGCGAGCAACTGCTGTCACCTCGTTATGCACGTCTTTGACGGGGCAAGTGGAGGTAACACATAAATGAAGAGCTGGAAATAGTGGTGTTAAGCGTCGATTATCCACGTGTTCTATGAAGAAATGATGAAACGGAGATAGCAGCTGTACAAAGGGTAGTAAAGACAAGACAGAAGTCACTCTTTTGTCTTTTGAAGTCTGATTGGTTGGCGGGCCTTTTAAGGGTTACATCAAGCCTTAGCTGGAACACCTGGTTATGTGTAATGATTAACCGTTCTCATTTCTATATGCGTTCATTCACCTGCTTGTGCTGTGCAGCACATTAGTTTGTGCATCCTGCTTTCCAAAACTTCGTGCATGATGCAAAAGAATTACGTAGAGTTAACTGATACTAGTGAGAAGCTTTTGCACCCAGCCTATGTATGCATCATGTGTTTATTTTGCCGTTCTTGCATCCCTTTTTCACATATTTGCCTTTTGACCAGTGCTATGAGCCACGCACGCGCGGGCTGGCAGAAAAAGAAATGGCGATGATCGTTTGTGTCACTTTCTTTTGCCCGTGGGCTTTGCTGGAATGTTTCATAAACCCTCATTGCTCTTAAGAGCCTTGTCAATGCGGGTTTATTATGAAGCAAATGACTGGGTATTACTTGCAAATTCACTTGAGGCATTAGATCAAGTGATGTACTTCAACATAAGACTGTTTGCTTTGAAAATGTTGCGCGATTACTTTAGAACTATTCACTTGTGCTTTAAGGCTTTCGTTATGTTGCCATTATCCTGTTTTGTAAAACACAGTACCAATTGGGGTTATTGAATTATACTGCATTTTTTCACTACAGTCGAACTCCGCTACAACGAAGGCCACTTCAACGAAATTTCCGCTACAACGAAAAATTCATGATTCCCCGTCAGCAGTTTATGAGACTCAATGCATAAATGTTGTCACCACAACGAATACTTTTTCTTCAATCGTCCCGCTTCAACGAAATTTTACGATGCAATTCCAGGCTCAGATACTAATTGCTATGCAGTAAACCCATTCTTTAACATTTGGATGCATTTTCAGAGCCTGAAAATGTGTCAACAAAGTTTAAAGCACATGTTGCACCACTAGAAACCACCGCTATACCACCTCTTCAGCAAGCATGGGCGCCGCCGCCATTGCTCGATAGTGATGGCAATGAGACTGCCCTGCTTTTGTTTTGCCACTGGCTTGCTTTTGTGTCCGCAGACGATCCAAAGCTGAAGCTCAGTCGCTCAGTTCATGGTTTCCTTCTCGCAGCTGTTGGGTGCAACCGCGACACGATGCCTTTTCCGGTGCTTATCGTTATGCTCGCGCTTGGCCAGTGTGGTAGCTAATCAGAGCGGCTGTTCGTCCTCATTATCAACAAAATCGGCTGGCCGCGAGTGATGGATGATAAGAATGGCATAGAATAACGCAAAAGTCGCCGCTCCACGGTACCTTGCCTCCATCTCGGCATTGTCAGATGCTTTTGACGGCGGACAGCTGCTGGTGTTAATGTGTTAATGCAACTGTTTGGTTCGTTCACGAAGGCGGTTTTAGGCATTGTTTCAGCGTTCTTTTCACCATAGCCTCGCTATACATGAGTGAGAATGACGACGTGATGCTGCTGAGAAAGAATAGGAAGCAGCGGACATTTTTTGAATTTTGAGAATAAACGTTTCTTTGTTTTGCTAGCTGAGATCAGCTATATTTTTTCGATTTCACTGCAACGAAATTTTCGCATCGACAAAATTTTTTCCGCGCCCCGTCAGTTTCATTGTAGCGGGGTTGGACTGTATTTTAAAACCGTTCACCAACTTTTGCCACAAAAATGTAGAAGTTGAAAGTAGAATTACAAAGTGACAAAAGCCAGCTCTCAATTTCGATTACTGGGTACAAAAGCCAGCTCTCAATTTCGATTACTGGGTAAAAAGAATGATTCACAGCAGGAAGGGTTAATATTAAACTGAAAGTTGGTGAACAAAGCATGGTGAACAACAGCCAGCCTCAAATGCTTGAAATGGATGCTGGTTGAAGGAATACTTTGAATTTTTTTTTTTCATTATAAGCATAACAATCTTTATAGTGATAAATTTCATAGGCTTCGTGGGAATAGGGCACTCTATAATCGTGATAAACGCTTTACGAAAGATGAGAACCATGTCGTTACTTGTACTGAATTTGATTTTAAAAAAAGCTGACTGAAAGATCAACATAAATGAAAACCTGTGTAAAATTGGTCGACGAGTATATCACTGCAGCTGGTTTTGGGGGCCCAGCTGTCCTTCACCGCCACTGGTGTCTGTAGCAGCTGTTAAGCAAAATCAGAAATTTTTCATGAAGGATGGGTAAAGAGACATTCATTCCAGATTATCCGGCTCAGTGCATCATTTTAACTTGCTCTGACCACAAAATGTAAACTGATCATAAGGCCTGTCACGGGTTCTCTTGCAAAGGATATCGAACAGCGAGTGTTAACGACAAGCTGTGACACCTTGTGGCTGGTGCAGCTGCTTTTGCACCGTAAAACCTGATGTTAACTTAAAGGGGCCCTGAAACACTTTTTCAAGCAACCATGGAAGGAACTCACTGGAAGAGCTTATTGCCTCACAAATTCAACGCCGCAAATATTTTAAGAATCCGTACAGCGTGAGTGGAGTTACAAAGGTTTGTCGCATGGTGCAATTGCATTCTCTCTTCTCTCGGCCCGACGAAAGTGCTGGAAGCTGAGCAGGGAGGGACGGGAGGGGCAAACAAAAAACGTCACTTGTGCCTCGTGACCATGAGTTCTTTTTTTTTTCTTTCTTCGAATGAGCAGCTTCTTTAGTGCAATTGCGTGCGCATGCGTGGAAAAGTGACAGCCTCTCGCGGAGACCTCTGTAACAACCGAGCGTGCCATGTTCAAATCGGCCAATGGCTGATAGATGGGCTTACTGGGCTTATTTTCCTGCGATTTGTCGAGAGAAGAGAAAGCTATGTTTAGCTGACTTAGATCATTTATTGTGAATTCCAGGCCGCGTGCTGTGCTGTAATATTTGGCTCCCGTGCTGTCGGGAGCCTCTACTACAGATCGGCAGCGTTTTCTGGCCATGCTCAAAATAGTGTTGCAGGGCCTCTTTAAGAGCGGCAAGTTGCCGTGCGAGAACGCCATTTCTTTTTCTCGCACCCGTGCGACTGGTACGATGTGTAGACAGGCTGGCTGCTTTTGCCTGGCATGTCTCGTTGACGTGGCATGCTGCTGCACCCAATAAGTTGAAGACCGCATGCGTTCTCTCTTGCACGTACCTGTTGCCACCATGTTCTTCAACAGTGCGGAGGAAACTGAGAGCGGACACGGTGACCACAAAAGGTACTCGACAGCTTTGCGAGCATGACTTACGGAAACTGGTGGCTGGGTTTGTTTTGTAGAGATCAGTTTTTGCCGACGTGTGTTTGGATACGTTTTATGTGCCTGCACGTCTTTCTTTTTTTTTCCAACTTTTGGTCTGTTGTTTCTTTTTTTTTTTAAACACAACTGATGAAAAAAAAGAAGCGAGTCAATAGAAAATAACTCAAGCGTACTTGTTGAGCTCCACTTTTAAAGATACGCTATTACAATGGTGTAAGGCAGTGGTTCTCGGCCATGAATGTGTCAAGGACCCTCTTGAGGACTGCTGGAAGTGATGGCGGACCCCTTGCAGCGGAGGGGAGAGAGGGGGTACGTAGGTAAGTTAACACAACTAGAGCGTGAAACAGGTGCCTCTAATTGCTACCGGAAATGTCAAACAAACGTGCCACATCACTTCATTTTGGACAGTTCATCAATACTTGGCAGGTGAGGGTTTCGCGAATCATAAATATGGCTCCGCGGACCCTTATTTGAGAACCATTGGTGTAAGTTTTCAAGTGTGCCAGCACTAAATTTTACTACAAAGCAGTCATTTGATGCTCAATTGACTAATCAGCAAAAATTGTAACCTTCGTGCTCGTTGCTTTCACACGTATACTACAATTTGCGATTCGAACCGAGTTGAGTGGCATGAAGTATGCTCTCTAAACCAATTTTGAAGGTAACGCCAATTCGGAGCTATGCGTTGTTTGACGGCTTCAAAGAAAATCCTCTTATCTTAGCTGATTTGCGAGTTTTTTTAACTTGTGAAATAAGCTAGCCGATGAGGCAAAAGTGACTTTGGCATCAACCTATGAAGGAGCACTAAGGGCAACTAACAATTTAGGCTACACGAGCAGATTAGGGGTACTTCAGATAATCTGCTATGTCAATATTATGGTATTGACTTTAGGTACGCTCTCGAAATGTTATTTTTTGTATTTTGACAACAGCTCGTTTGTAATCCAGATAATGAAGTTAGTGCATGACATTACATACAAGTTCAACAGGGCATTTTATTACTAGCCCAAAGAGATGGCAACTCGTTAATACAGTGCTGTACCTGCTGGACGCAATTATAGTTATGTAGCTCGACTGCTGATACGATTGCTGTGATATCGAATACCAGTCGTGGCAGCTGCATCTTCACAGAGACGAAGTGCTAAAGGCCCATGTGCTTAGGTTTAGGAGCACATTAAAGAACTTCAAGTGGTGCAAAGTCGTGGAGCCCTCCACTACGCTGCCTCTCATAATCAGTCGAAGTTTTCGGATGCGAGATGCCAGAAGTTACCATTGCGGCATGTAAGACCAAAGATTCAGGCGATTTGAATTGTATGAAGGGTATGCAGATCTTTCAATTGCAATAATTTCTAAAAAAAAATAGTTTTTTTTTCCCCTCGATTCGTATTTCCTTCTAGTGTCCTTCAAACCCAATGCAACTGTTAGACAACGACGGCCACTTGCAGCGAGTATTGCTCATCGGCCACTGGGTCATTTCACGCCTAACATTCCAGCCATTCTGGCAACTACCCAAAATGTATTAAAACAAATTCTTGCTAATTTATTGCATTGGAAACAGTGAATTGTTGCAGTATTCTGGAGTGGTTAGTGAGCGAGCAAAGCAACTCTATCAAGTCCAGATATGACGCGAGTGAACTCGATATCACCTGGCCAGGCCCACTCGACAACCGTTGAGTTAAACATGACGGCCCTCACAAGGGGCCCTCTGGGTGGCCGGGATTGGAAAAATCTGGTCCTGAAAAAAAAAATTTCTTGGGCAATATGAAAACCTCCCGAATTTCGCAGAATGTCCGAGTGATTTTTGTTAGCGAATTTATTCTGAGAGGACCATTGTTCGTTTCAATATGAAATTTGGTTTGAATATTAGGTAATGGTGTTTGTGCAGGATTTCTGTAGCTCAATGGTATTACTGTGATTTTTCAGCCATGTAGGTGTCTAGAAATTCGGTTGAAATTTTTTTTCCTTGTAATATTGTGCTGTATGCGCAATGCATGAGTAGTTGATACGTTTTCTATGAAAAGCATAGTTTGCTTTTAAAGATTTTTCTGACCACAGATGGTTGTAAATCATAAAAGAAAAATTCCGAATTTGGTCAAAATTTAGTAGGCACAATTTACACGTCGAGAGCTCAAATTAAAAATCAGCTAATTGAAAGCAAATGAGTAGTTACTATCATATGTAAAGGTTTATTGTTGCATTTTTGTTTTAAAGGGACACTAAAGGCGAATGTAAAGTAGAGGATTGTTGATACAGCGTTCCAGAAATGTCGCAGTGCTTGTTTCATGCCAAGAAAATGCTTGTTCAGAATGAAAATCGTGCTCGACGCAACGTTAGCACACGTCGTGTTCTGTGCCTGAAAAGGCCTTCTGATGTAGCATTTGCCTTGCCCAATGTTGCCCGTCTTTACTACCCAGCAGCCGATGGTCTGGTTTCAGTTCTGAAGGGTACATTACACAACATTTAGTATTTATTTAGTTTTATTTGAGGATACCGTCAACCCACATTTGTGGGTCATTACACAGAGAGAGTACATAAAAGTAACAATTGGTACATAAAAATACTTAAGGTAATGCCAACTGTCAACAATAACGAAAAAAAGATCATCTACATTGGCATGACAAAAAAGCAAGAGAAACATCAACACACCATCCGATAACTTTTAGGTAACATAGTTGTCAAGCAAATGTACATAAGCCTTTGCATCTGTGCATTCAGCAATATGTGCAGGTAGTTCATTCCAGTTTTTGATAACATTGCGGAAAAAGGAATACCGAAAAATGTTTGTGCGAGTGGCGTATGTTTTAATGGCTGCACTGTGGTTTATTCGTCTGCTGGTTCTACCAGGCTCACGTGTGTACATACTTTTAGCAATATTTATTTGACCGTGGAGAATCTAAAATAATAGTTTTATTCTGTTCCTCTTATGCCTAATCTCGAGCAGCTTACAATTTACACAAGTTTAGTATTCTCAATACAGAGTCCGTTTTTTTTTTTTTGAATCTTGAACTTATGAACGAGGACTGCAAGTCTTCAGATTCTTTCAAGCTCATTTATCAGGCATTTTTGGTGGGGACTCCACGCTACGCCAGCATACTCCAGAATAGGCCAAATAAATGTTTTATATGCCATCAGCTCAACGTCGTTGGTTTCGTTTCGTTGTTTGACTCGAAGAAAACGCAGCTTTTTGTACATTGAAAAACACACATTTTCAATGTTGCTGCACCAGTTTAGGTTATTTGATATCGCAATGCCTAGATATTTAAAACTAGAAACATTTGTCAAAATTGCACTGTCCATACGATACTGGAAATTGGGAACTTTTTTCTTTAAGTTAATATGTGCAAAAGTGGTTTTGGCGTAGTTGATTTCTTTGTCCCATTTTTCTCACCAGGCATGGAGACCTTCGAGACGCTGATTAATTTTTTTCCCGATCATTTTCACAGATAGCTGGAGCATAAATTAAGCAGTCATCCACAAACAGTGTCAAGGCCACTGGCGGCTGAAGAACTGTGGCTAAATTGTCCATATAAAGTAAAAACAATAAAGGGCCTGGCACAGACTCATTACAAGGACACTAAGTTCTATAGAGCTTCTTGTTATACCGACTTTCAAGAGCGTGCTAGGCACATGCAGCAGTACAAGGTAACAAAAATGCCACCAAGACGTAACCATGCGAGTTGCGCACTGCCGGCGAAACTGGAACGTTCACACGACCCACACCATTGTCGATGATAACGTCAAGTTCTTTTTTTTTTTTTATGGGTGAAACAAAAATGCTCAAGCAGTATTCTAGTATGTCTGTCTTGTAGTGCTCGGAATGCTCTTTTTTATTAGTACCAGCTTGAGTACTAGCGATAATTTTGTAATGGAAAGTCCTAACACTATCTGGCTCGTTCCAAAATATCCCACTAGCGGTGCATACAGTGTGCTACGTTTGCCATGATTCCTCGATGAGTAGAGCGCTGTGGTTGATAGCGGTGACATTTTCGAAGTCCTCCGACAGTTGACCCTTCGCTCTGACGTGAATTTTTATTTGCCTTTAGGGTCCCTTTTAGGAAGAAATACCTTTTTGAATGTTTTTCACTGCATTCTGAAATATAGCTCTCTCGACATTACGAATGCACATCCTGCTTTTGCTCTTAATCCTTTGCATTATTGCATCAATCTTTCGTCATTGCAGTCAAAAGGAAGATCTCAAGTACGAGCACCCAGTTGCCTGCGAGATTTCCGCGCTCATTTCGTATGACGGCGAGGTACGTATGCTGTTTAGTGTTTGTGTCTTAGTGTATAACACAAGCACTGAGCTGTCAAAGAGAAGGTGCAGGGGCAATTTGTCATTACCGCAACTTAATCGCGCATGGCTATTACCGTGAACGTTTAGATGTCACTGGTGCTCAGGTTTGTGACCTATATGTGTTCTACTCCTGCTGTAGCCCCCCAGTGGAGTTGCATTGTTGCGAATAAATCAGTAAGCAAATAATTAATGTCGAGTATTATGAAAAGTAACGGTTTATGCATGTTGATTGCTATAACAAGGGCCAACTCTGTTTCATCAATGTAAAGAGATTCAGCGTTGCTTTTTATATAGACGTTGCGTGCCATTATGGTACAATTCTGTCATAAATAATGTGCGGCGTGAATCACCATAGCCATTTTAATGCATAAACATTAGGAGTGGCTGATTCGAGAGAAGCGTGATAGTTAGTCTAAAGCCAGAGGTGCCAAGCCTACCCTTGTTTGCTTGTGCATTACACCAAGACAGGACTAATGTTTGCTAATCTGGCCAGTGTGGCTTAATGTTAGCAGTGACGGTAATTGGACGTGACGAAGGGTGATGCTAATGCACCTCTGTTGTACTTGCCTCTATATTGCCGCTGAATGTTTTTGCAGGGTCTCGAAGACTACGTGAGGGACAAGAAGTTTGTGCCCCCCGTGCTTCTGAGCAGCCCCGAAGAAGAGCCCGTATTCCAGAACGGCACCACACGCAAGGACTGATTGAACCCCTTCGTGCAAAACATTTCGATCGCGGACCGGGATCAAGCCTTCTCTTTCTTTGTGCACATGTGGCAGATGCATGAAGTGGCAACTCCCACACTCCCAAGTAGCTTTTTTTTTCTTGTTTTTTTTTTTATCTTCGTAGCTGATGCACTTTTGTGGACCGCTTGCAGGGGCAGTTTTTTTTTACAATTTTTTGTTGTTGTTTTCTTCCGGGACCAGCTCGATCGATGCTCAGTGTCACATGCTCTGAAGTCTTCCCGGTGCTTTTGCTGTGGTAAGGCGGTTTTTCGAGTGGCAGGCAGGCAGGCGTGTGTGCTGCAGCCAGCTGCAGAAGCAAACTGGGGGCGCAAATCATGTTGTAAATAGTTGACAGCTGTACATAAGCTGCAGAGAGGGGGAGGCCCATTGAGGGAATAAACAGAGTGCTGATTGCAATGCTGTTGTTCTGGTGTGTTCTTCTTTAGCTCACATGCGTGTATAGCAAAATGTTCGGAAAGTGTTCATAAATGTTTTCACGTACTGTGTTCAAGTGTTGTACCTGTGTATGACATCGCGAGGTCATGGAGAGAGTTCCTTTCTTTATTGTCATTAGAACACTCGTCTGAAAACAGACTGGTACTGTCCTTTAGGCATCACTTTGGCATAAGCCTTCTGAAGCTTTATTGCGCCCTTTACACATATTATAGGTGAAGGGTTAATGTAAGTATGACATGACATGTCTGTCATGTCATGTTTCTAAAACTAGGTTGGTTAAGAACTTGTGAATATAAAACTAAGCTTTGTGGTTAAACCTCGGTGATATGTACCAGTGCGACGTCATTTAATATTGCGAACACTGTTACGCTGTAAAAGCTCTCAAAACATATTGTCAGTTCTCTAGGTCACTTTCTCTAGGTCACTTCAGGATTTCATTCTCTCCTACAATGATAACTAGGTCTGGAAATACTTAGAAACAGAAGACGTCACGGCGAGCTGAAAGCTGACACCGGAAATTGGAGTGGCAATTTTTCGGTTTTACGTATTCAAGCTTGCTGCACACTTCTTGGTGTGGCAAGAGCCAGTGCACGAGCTTCTATCTCATGTGTTGCAGTACAGCAGCGCATACCTACTACTGCAACGGTGAGTTCAACCACAAGCAAGCCAGTTCATCGAGCCGCTCGCAGATCAATATTTGCCAGGTCGCAACAGAAACAATGGTTTTGTCCGGAAGATACTGCATTAACCAGTTTCGCTGGCTCTCTGCCCCCACCTCATCCAGACTTCTTCATTTAAGAACTGGTAACCTTAACTAGAATGTATAGTGAAATTAACCAATCATGATGCGAAAATCTCCCTTTTCGTCGGTGAGATCTGAATCCACAGCCACAACTGAAATAACAAATGTCTCAAGGTTTTTACGGTGAACCCCACAAGCTGTCGAATCGGTAAAGAGTGCCCCGCCGCGGTGGTCTAGTGGCTAAGGTACTCGGTTGCTGACCCTCAGGTCGTGGGCTCGAATCCCGGCTGCGGCGGCTGCATTTCCGATGTAGGCGGAAATGTTGTAGGCCCATGTGCTCAGATTTGCGTGCACGTTAAAGAACCCCAGGTGGTCGAAATTTCCGGAGCCCTCCACTACGGCGTCTCTCATAATCGTATGGTGGTTTTGGGACATTAAACCCACATATCAATCAATCGGTAAAGAGGTTATTATATGCTTGACGAGCTTGCGCCTGAAGAGAGGAATACTGGAATCGCAAGTAATTGTCACTTGCAGGACAATGATGGCATTGAACACTACCAGTGGCCATAGTCAGAAGTGTGTTTCGAATGGTTCAAGGTTCAACCGTAACGTGTTTGTATTTGTACGTGCATACGCTTGTAAAACGGGAAAACTTCAGGGTGTTTGAAACCATGCCCCTCCCATCTCCCCATCGGCTACGAAGAGTTGGGATCGATCGTAAGCGATCTGATCGTTGGCGAAAAGGCGTCGGCTCACATGCATACAGGATGGAAGAATTCGATGTTATCGTTATCGCCACTGTGAGTTTCAGGAGAAACACTACTTATCAGAAAAGTCTAAGACAATTTGGAAGTCTACCAAACATTCGGGCGTGGTCTGCGGCGAGGGTTTGTCACGCTCGTAGTAGCGGTCGTAATAGCCTTGGGCGCGCCACCTGGGCAAACCTGACGCGCTGTTAGCCCCCCCCCCCCCCCCCCCTCGGTGCGGTTTAGCGAAGATGGCATTTGCCAGTCGAGTCATTCAGCGGCACACACATTGAATCACCGCGAAACGGGAAAGCGCTATCGAATCGCCTCAACCCATGGGTGTATTCTAGTTTGCTATATACCATGGGAGGAGGGTCGGCGGTTGCAAAAATTTTTGCGGACGCCCTTTCCCCTGCCCATTTTCTTCAATACCGAAACTATGCCGCAACAGAGGTACAAAGCCCGTAAGGGCGCCCCGTCTATTGCACATCTACGCAATCGGGGATCGATGCACGCTAGGTGTCGTGAACGTGGCTTTCCAGATAAGGTCCCTAGATCTAGGTACCTTATTTCCAGATAGAGTGCCTCGATGCGCGGAGCGCGCGGGCATCAAGGTACCCTATTTCCAGACTTTGTCGCATCTCAAAGCCTTAGGCCAAACAGGAGACATCAACTGGTTTTGATGGTTCATATATGGTAATATTGCGTCGTGATTCTCTCGTTCATACGAGGAATAAGAGGCGCAGTGCATGGAAGCGACTTATTTGGACCACGCTTAAAGAGCCCGTAAACCACCCCGAGGTCGATATTCAGTCGTTGTGGGGAAATTGTGCACGAGTGTACGACGAACATGGAGCCGTGAGCATTTTTCGAAGCGGTACCGTAATAGCAAGAGTCGGACGCGTTTGATTATCGAAGCCACGATGATCCCTCCTTTCGCTCTCTGCTGGTGGTGGTGGAGGTATTGGTTAGAAGAGGAGAAAAGGCGCCTAATTTCTGCAACCCGGTCGGGAGCACGACGCAGTGCCTTTCTTTCTTTCTCTGCTGCGCTGCCCTCCGTGGTATCGTCGCCCAGAGCCGCTTTGCCCTCTCTCCGAGCGTCCATCTCAATCTCGTGTGGCATACATCATCGTTGCGCGTCACGCGGAGGGAAGAAAGGCCCGGAAATAGGGATGTCGTGGACAGCGTTACAATCATCTTGGGAGGGGGGGGGGGGGTGAAGTGTGGTTATGTTTATAAGAAGGAAAAGAAAAAAAGTGAGCCCCGTAACTGTCTGCATCAGGGTGCGACACCTCAACAGTAGCTCAGGAGGGATGAAGTGAGGAGGGATGAGAGGGATAGAATTAAAAGTATATATAGAGAGAAAGATGCGCTGGGATAGCGAGCGAGAAACATATCGAGGGGATAGAAGGGATAGGAAAGATGGAAACACGGTCACAGGAGTCCGAGGACGGGGCACCACTTGCGAGAGCTCTTGTCGGCGTCACGAGATGGCGTAGAGCAAGTCCAGTAAGTCAGAGCTACGCTGTCGTCGGAGATCGGCGTCAGGAGATGACGTAGGGCGAGCCCAGTCGGCCAGAGCTACGCTGACGTCGGAGATCGCGAGGGCACAACCGGTCGGCACGGAATCCAGCGAGCGAGTCCCCTTACATTCATTTCCACACGCACTAGCTCGTTTTATTTCGGGTTCCTCTGAAAGGTGGCGTCTTTTTTTTTTTTTTTCATTGTAGTGACGTGACGGCGTCCAACGTAAGAGTGCCGTCGGCGCTTATTTAACGAGAGGACGAAGGCGCACAGCTGCTGAAGGAAAAGAGACGCCGAATCAGAGTGGTGGCCGAGGCGTCGAGCCAGCCAAAAGCACCCGAAAGTTCTTTAATGTAACCAGCAACAACGGCACGTCTACGTCGGACGTCATCACGTCGCTACAACGGCAAAGATCTGGCCTCATTCGAAGGAGCCTGAAAGAAAAGGAGTAATGTATAGTGCATGTGGAAATTAATGTAACACTGCCCACGATATTCCTTTGGTGGTCGCAATTATAGTCAGAGCCATGCACGGCGATAATTCATCGCTGCACCGTAATGGGAACCTTGCGCGCGCCTTTGTATGCCTGTCGAACATTGTACGCCAGCTTAGGTTAGTAAAAGTTGGTGTGGGAAGTTCCAGCGCTTCAAAAAGCAGCACGTCCATTTTCATCAACATTTATTTAAACGGCAAGAAGGCTACAACTGAGTAGCCTTGAAGGTTGAAACCAGGAAAAGTACACCTTCTCAAACGCTTAAACACTGAAAAAACGGCAAGAAGGCTACAACTGAGTAGCCTTGAAGGTTGAAACCAGGAAAAGTACACAAAGCTTCTCAAACGCTTAAACACTGAAAAGTAAAACACTGAAAACTAAAACACTAAACAGCTGAAACGTAACCACAAGGTGAACATTAGTAGTGGCGAACAGAGTCATTTCATTGGTTCAGATTAAAACAATGGTCCGACGTTTTGTTGTGGTGGATACTAACACTCCTATATCCGACTAGACTGTGAGACGCAAAAAAAAAAAAAAAGAGATGAGATCAATGCACTGCGCATGAACCGAGGCTGAACTAGCCGGTAACAAAAATGCACCAAGAGCGACGTCAAAAACGGAATGCACGCGTATTCGTGGTACTACAGAAACGCGACGTTGAGGTGAAGGTTGCCCCCGTGGATGAAGCCTCCCGTTTTGACCCTCTCCCAGTTGATCTTGTCCGTCCACCATACCCAGTTCCAAGTGTCCTCACCATCCTTCTTTCGTCCTTTACCAGCCGGAGGAGGCGTATGGAGGAAGGAAAAACTGCATGGAACTACCTAGGCCTTCTCTGCAGCATTCTTACTCGCCTCCTACCTCTGCCACCGGATATGTCGCGTGCATTGAGTTAATAGTAGTACAGTAGCTCTATAGTCGTGTGGGAAACCACGCGGTGGTTTCTGGTCTGATGAGGGTGTAACGTTTTTCACTCGCTGACACACAAACTCGCTTGTCACATGAACATTCTTAGTTATTTTAGACACATCACTTTTATGGAGTTTATTGCGCGTCGGCAGCAGGTCCTCGTTAGTATAGTGGTCAGTATCCCCGCCTGTCACGCGGGAGACCGGGGTTCGATTCCCCGACGAAGAGCAAGTTTTTTTTTAAGACCTAAATTTTGTATTTTTTAAAAAATGCGTTACACAACGAGAACATAAATTTCTTTTTATCTCGGCGGTGTTGCAGTTGTGTAGCCAGGGGTGCGGTATGGGGTTTTTTGAAAAACCCCCTGATGTTTTTACCTATTTGTGTATGCGCGCACACGAACAGAAGACGCACGAACATACCTAAAGAGAGAGAGAGAGAATTAACTTTAATAAAGGTCCTGAAGGGGCCTGGGCACCCCTTACGGGGGCCAGCCCGGTGGCTCCGCCCATGTGGGGACTGGGAGTCGGAGCTCGCCAGCCAC